GTTATGCATGGTTATTGAAAAAACAAAAAATTAAAGTTTCTAAAATAAAGCCACAAAACACATACTAAATATCTGTCCACAAGACTTTTTGTGAAAAAAAAATCATCCTGCCTAATCATTCACACAAAACAATACATTGATTTAAACTTTGCAAGACACGTTTTGTTTGGAAAGGCAATGCGTGAATGCTCATGAATAATGCTCTGATTCACACCTGAGATGATGTTTTTCATTTTCGGACGCGTTTCAGAATGGACTTCACATTGAGAGAGAACGCAGAACTCATTTGCATTTAAAGGGACACACACACAAACGGAGCGTTTTTGCTCGCACCCAAAAAGGGTCAAATTTGAGAAGCTATAATAAATGATCTGGTATTTTGAGCTGAAATTTCACAGACACATTCTGGAGACACCAGAGATTCATATTACACCTTGTGAAAAGGGGCGTAATGTGGATTCATGGATTGTCTGTGTCTGTTGCATGCAGAGCGTCACACACACACACACACACACACACACACACACACACACACACACACACACACACACACACACACACACACACACCGTCTTACCTTTGATCTCAGACACACCTGAGACACAAGAGCCACCGGCTGCTTAGAGATTTAGTCTGATTCGGTTTAAGCCGTGAGCGGGTCAGCTGCTGCCATATGGCGAGAGACCGCGTAACTGCTCAACACACACGATCCCGGGAGACAATGAGAAGGGAAAAACAGCCAAAGCAGAGCAAGGAGAGTGGAGTCTGCTGATGGGATAGCTGCAGTCGAGGAGGAAGCGTTGGGGAAGTATGGGAATAGGCAGTTCCTTCGCTCCCCGCTCAGATCAGGTCTTTACTATAAGGTATGTGCTGTCAGTCGTGTCATCACGCTGTGTGTGTGTGTGTGTGAGCTTGTGTTCAGAGCATGTGTTTCCAAATGTCCTCAAGCACACAGTCACAACTGAAGTACAGGACTGTCCCGCAGGAACGGTCTGATGTGTGGTCAGCTCGATGAGGTGTTTTACATGCGTTTGGCAGACGCTGTTATCTTACAGTGCATCGCTTGAGTTGCTCTACAAGAACTAGCGCTTCCATTAGTTCAGCCAAACGGGATTCTTTTGAACATTACAGTTGCTTTTTTATCTGCTTGTATTGTCAAAACCACTGGAGGATACAAAAAGATCTTTGAATTAGGGGTGTCAATGTTTATTTTGTTTTAGGAAATTCCACCAGTGATTACCATTCTAAAACCAATAATGTAACACTGCATTGACGGATTTCCAGCCTCAACCATTTAAATACATGTTTCTAAAAAATAAAAGTAGTTTTTTTTCCTCTCAGTGATTTTCCACTACATTGAATTTGAAGGGATTTACTATTTCCTTGAGTTTAATTATGATGTTCGTTATTTAAAACTAATTTAAAAACCCATTTCGTATTAGCATCTGTCAAGAGAACAAAATCATCACTTGAAAATTGGAAATTGGTAATAAAGAGTTTAATGTCATCGACTCTCTGATCAAAGTGTGCCTGTGACGAACACTGATGATGTCATGTGCAGATCCATAACCAGCGCTGAAGAAGGCATCGTGTTCGGGATGGTTCATGATGACATCATTGCACAACGTGAAAATAATGCAACATGAAAATAATGCAACAATGAAAATAATGCAATAATTAAAATAATGCAACATGAAAATAATGCAATAATTAAAATAATGCAACATGAAAATAATGCAATAATTAAAATAATGCTACATTATTCGTTCCCTCACAGATAAGGCTACTGTGCTTTGCGCACTACTAACTGAGAAAAACTTCGACTTATTGCTCCTCACTGAAACATGGCAAACTCCTAATGACTATTTCCACCTAAATCTTCTCACTCCCTCTGGATACAGCTACCTGGCCAAACCTCGTCGTTTGACATCAAGGGGTGGTGGCCTGGCTGCTGTTCACCGCAGCAGCATTCCAGTCAAAAATATAGACTTTCACGTGACTTTAACTTTTGAATATCTGGTTCTCAAAGTTTCTGGTACATCTCCAATGATCTTGATTCTCCTGTATCGTCCACCTAAAGCTATCTCAAATTTCTTCAGTGAACTGTTAACCCTTTCCTCTGCCTTATCCTCTTGTGTTATATTACTTGGTGATTTCAACATACATGTTGATACTGATTGTGCAGAATCGCGTGAACTCTTGTCATTATTTGAATGTTTCAATCTTGTACAACATGTTGATTTTGCTACACACTCAAAAGGTCACACACTGGATCTTGTCTGCACTGCTGGTCTACATAATGTTTCCGTGCTTAGTTCTCAAATTGGACTGTCTGATCACCACCTCGTTGAACTAAACTGTGAAATGCCTCTTCCCCGCCTCAGGGTGAAATCTACTATAACCTTCCGTAACCTCAATTCTGTTAATCCATTACTGTTTTCTGAATCTGTACAAACTCATCTCTCTGATATTACTGAACACACTAGCTCTCTTGATATCCTTACCAAATATAATGCCTGTATTTCCACTGCCCTTGATACACATGCCCCTCTTAAAAGTAGAGTTGTACCTTCTACACACACATCTCCCTGGTTTACCCCTGCTCTTCGCAATCTAAAAACAGCTGGTCGTCGTCTTGAACGCCTTTACAGGAAAACCGGTTTGACTGTTCACCTTACTGCTTACACTGACCATATCCAATTGTACAAATCTGCTATAAACACTGCACGCTCTGGTTACTACTCTACTATTATCAATAATGCATCCTCTCGACCTAAAGCACTGTTTTCAGTAGTCAATAAACTCACCAACCCTCCTGCACCTGTCATTAGTAACTCAGCAGACCTCTGTGAGTCATTCCTGCATTTCTTTTTAAATAAAACTGATAGCATTCACAATCATTTCCCATCCATGATCTCTCCTGTTTACACACACGACTTCGCCACTGCTTTTACTCCTGGTACTCTCACTGATTTTGCCCCCCCAACCCCTGCTTATGTGCACCTGTTATTTCTTTGCCGATTTCACTTCTCATCTCCCAACTACTAAGTACTGGTTCTGTTCCTCTGGAATTAAAAACTGCTGCTGTCACTCCTGTCCTAAAGAAACCCCGCCTCGACCCCACCAACATGGCCAATTACAGACCAATCTCAAATTTACCATTTCTTTCGAAACTGCTTGAGAAAGTGGTCGCTGCCCAACTGCAAACACACATGTCATCTAACAACCACTGTGAATGTTTTCAATCCGCTTTCCGCACCCTCCACAGCACTGAGACAGCACTTCTTAGGGTTGTCAATGATCTCCTTATGGCCACTGACTCCGGCTCCACCAGTATTCTAATTCTTCTAGATATTTCCTCTGCATTCGACACAATCTCTCACAGTATTCTCATCTCACGACTCTCTGCTCTTGGTGTTTCTGGAACTGCCCCATCTTGGTTAACTTCCTACCTGTCTGATCGTCAGCATTACATCTCTATCCGCCAGGCTAAGTCCACTACTGCCTCTGTCCCACACGGTGTTCCCCAGGGTTCTGTTCTTGGGCCTCTTCTCTTCATCATCTACATGCTCCCATTAGGTAACATCATCCGTCAACATGACTTTAAATTCCATTGCTACGCAGATGACACCCAACTATACATCCATTCACAACGCAATGCTCCTTTTCCCACAAATTCCATATCAGCCTGTATTGATGATATAAATGCTTGGATGACCAGTAATTTTCTCAAACTCAACACTGATAAAACAGATCTACTTCTTATTGGCTCACCTCGATTAACATCCTGTTTCTGTGTTGACCATGTTCACATTGCTGGAGTTTCAGTTCAACCTTCCACTACTGTCAGAAACCTTGATATAATCTTTGATTCCTCTCTTTCCTTCCTTCCACACATTTCCTCTCTCACAAAGTCTGCCTTCTTTCACCTTCGTAATATCGCACGCTTACGTCCATTTCTGAACACCAGCGATGCTGAAACCTTGGTTAATGCTTTCATCACATCACGGCTTGATTACTGGAATTCTCTTTTCTATGGCTTACCCAACTCATCTATAAATAAAATCTAATACATTCAGAACTCCGCAGCAAAGGTCCTTACATACACAAAGAAATCTTCCCACATTACTCCGATTTTACGCAGACTTCATTGGCTACCAGAACCTTTTCGTATTAACTACAAGATACTCCTTATTACATTCAAAGCACTCCATGGTCTTGCCCCCACCTATATCTCTGATCTCATCCATACCTACTCCCCAGTTCGCACACTTAGATCCTCCGATACCGGTCTTTTAACGATCCCACGGCACAAACTATCATCGTTTGGTGGAAGGGCTTTTTGTACTGCTGCCCCAACTCTCTGGAATTCTATTCCCCAACACATCCGCGACCTTTCATCATTACACGATTTCAAAACTCACCTAAAAACGTATCTTTTTGCTACTTGTTTCCCTTGATTTCTATGTTTATGTACCACTATCTCAATTTATTTTTTGTTCTATGTCATGTTTCTGTCAGGTTTATTTGTACTTTATTGTAAAGCGACCTTGAGTACTCTGAAAGGCGCTATATAAAATAAACATATTATTATTATTATAACATGAAAATAGTGCAATAATGAAAATAATGGAACATGAAAATAATGTTATAATAAAAAGAATGCAATTATGCATATTTCATGTAAACGGCAGGGAAGAGGTTTGTCATGTAAACATCATCTTACTGCGATTAAAGGGATATTTCACCCAAAAATGAAAATTCTGTCATAATTTACTCATGTTGTTTCAAACCTGTATGAGTTTCTTTCTTCTGCTGAACACAAAAGAATATATTCTGAAGAATGCGTGTAACTAGACAGTTGATGCTCCCATAGTGTTAAAAACCCATGTAAGTCAATGTGGACCATCAACTGTTGGGTTCCACGCTTCTTCAGAGCGTCTATAGTCCGTGTGGAGGTCCGGCGTTCCTCTGGTGTAACCTCTGCTCTCCCTCCTCAGAGTGAGCCTGACGCCGAGGCAGAACCTGTCCAGGATCATCCTGAAGGGAATCTTCCAGGGCGTGAAGGTGGTCCGGGGCCCCGACTGGGACTGGGGGAACCAAGACGGTGAGACTCCTGATCCACTGACCCTGGGGACGTGATCAGCGGCGGCCCAGAGGCGGCTTAATAAATGCATAACCACAATCTCATATGAAGGAAGCCCTTTGACTGTCTTTATGAACTTTATATTTTTCGGCAAAATGTGTTTTAAAGGTGCAGTGTGTAATATTTAGGAGGATCAATATACAATATATACATAACTATGTATTCAGTGGTGTATAAAGATCTACACAATGAAGCGTTGTGTGTTTATTAGCTTAGAATGAGGCGTTTCTCTCTACACACACCGCGGGTCCGCTTACACCCACATGTTTCTACGGTGGCCCTGAACGGACAAACGCGTTTCGTCACTATGTTGTTCTTCATGATAAGAAGCTGCTAAAGTCAGCGAATAAAACACTGACACAATGATGAACAAGTCACAATAATATTCGCACTAACATCGTTTTACTGAATAATTTGACAAACATGATTTCTTAAATTATCTTTATAAAGAAACCTCATTGTTTAACTCAGAGACGACGACATCACTTCCTGTCGGCCACCGTAACTTCTGTTGGGTGCAGTTCACAACCTCACCACTAGTTAAAACTTACACACTGCACCTTTAAATAATTGCGATTCGATCAAAAACCCGTGATGAGTGAATAATAGCGACAGATCACTGAAGCTCTGGGACTCAGAAAGGAAAGTGACTTTGACTGCTTTTCTTTCTTCACTGTAAAAGGTACAGACTGTACGGCTGATGAGATGATCATGTTGTGTTCTCATCAATGCTCGAAACACTCGTGTGTGTGTGGAGATCTGTGATCTGTGTTTTCACTGCACTGATGAATGAGTCAAAATGTCTGTGCCGTTGATGGACTAGACGTCTGATAGGCTGAGGATCTGTGGCGTTTCTTTGTCATGTGTTAGATGTGATTATTAGACGAAGCTCCAGCTCACATTCAACCCCAAAATCAACAGAGAAAGAAAGAAGAAATCATTTTCCATGTAGAAAAGAAAGCCTATTCTTAGCATAAAGAAAACCAGGCCTACTTTTAGGACCGAGAAGATTTTTATTATTTTTGTTAACAAACAAATGAATAAAAAACTAAAAAAATGTGATTGTAGTATTATTAGAGCATTTTTAAATGAGGGGGAAACAAATGAAAATACAAAAATAGACAATTTTCTTTGTGCAAAATATGATTTATGATTTCCTCTTGTGATTTTGGGGTAGATGGTGAGGCTTGGTGAGATTGACCTGTGTTTGGCATAGCTGTACACATAGGTTATGTTCTGTGCTTTCCTTGTTGTTTAAATATCCTCTCATTGTGAAGGCAAATACTGGCTTCAGGTTAAGTATTGATATGAATTCTCATAACTCTTGATTAACTGCAGTTACACACATTTTTTTTAAATTCTGTTTGGTTCCATATAAATGCTATAACTACTGTAGATCGGTCAAACAATATGACTAGATATCTCAAAATGTAGCGCATCAAACCACAGGAATCCTGCATATTCTTAATATCTGAGATGTTTGTGTTCCTGTCAGCTGCATTTCTGACCTCACGGGGACATCTCTCACTTCATTCAGACTCGACAGACACACATGTTCATTTATAAACGTGTTGCTCTCACTCATTTTCTCCCGATCCTGGTCTGAGACTCCTGCCCTGTCCCGTGTGTGTGTGTGTGTGTGTGTGTGTGTGTGTGTCTGTCTGTCTGTCTGTCTGTCTGTCTGTCTGTCTGTCTGTGTGTGTGTGTGTGTGTGCGTGTGTCTGTCTCTGTGTGTGTCTCTGTGTGTGTCTCTGTCTCTGTGTGTGTGTCTGTGTGTCTGTGTCTGTCTGTGTCTGTCTGTCTGTCTGTCTGTCTGTGTGTGTGTGTGTGCCTGTGTGTGCCTGTGTGTGCCTGTGTGTGTGTGTGTGTGTGTGCGTGTGTGTGCGTGTGTCTCTGTGTGTGTCTCTGTGTGTGTGTGTGTGTGTGTGTGTGTGTGTGTGTGTGTGTGTGTGTGTGTGTGTGTGTGTGTGTGTGTGTGTGTGTGTGTGTGTGTGTGTGAGCAGGAGGCGAGGGGAAGGTTGGGAAGGTTGTGGATATCCGCGGCTGGGATCAGGAGTCGGGTCGCAGTGTGGCGAGTGTCACATGGTCTAACGGGACCACGAACGTCTACCGGATGGGTCACAAGGGGAAGGTGGATCTGAAGTACGTGTCGGATGTTCAGGGAGGATTCTACTACAAGGAACACCTGCCCAAATTAGGTAACGTTCATTTACTTTGTTATCATATTTACATCTAAATTACAGTGCCAGACACTCAGAACCGAAGAGTCTTCTTATGTCCCATATGTGTGTGAGAGGGACATTTAGGATCCGAGATTACAGAAAATAGTGTTTTATCACTTAAGGAGTTACACACTATAATATATATCATGGCCACATATTAAGAATTTGTTCCCACGATTTATTAATTCGTTCCCTCGTTTAGTGAATCATGGACACATTGCTGTGTAATAATACAACTAATGACTGTGTGTGTGTGGGTGTGTGTCCAGGCGAGCACGCGGAGCTGCAGAGGCAGGACAGCGCGGACACACACTCGTTCCAGCAGGGGGATAAGGTGAAGTGTCTCCTGGAGCTGGATATCCTCCGGCAGATGCAGGAGGGACACGGAGGCTGGAATCCCAAGATGGGAGAGGTGAAAACACACCTTTAATACTCACAGCTGCACTTCCCTGCAAAGACGTTGTTTTGTTGTTGTTGTAATTGAAGTTATAAGGTATGAATAACTTTTGCCAAATTTGAAATGACTATCTTTTCTGTTGATGTCAGCAGACCATGCAAGTAAGAGGGGAATAACAGTGGCCAGTAATATAGCAGACATCACACAACTCAACCTTGATGGGCAATAACAAGCCCTGCTTTATTTCATTCAATATCATTTCAGAAATACCTCAAATTATGAAAGTTAAACATGTTGAGTGTAAATGACCTGAATGTTTTAGTGCTGGGTAATAACATGCATCTCTTCTGCTAATTCAAGTCTTTGCCTTTACTTGGAGCTGGACTTCACATTGGACACACACATCTTTGTAGTTGTGAAATACTGTAGTGTCTACAGACAAAATAAGTGTTTTTAGGCAAAAATGTGAATGTTAAAATAATAATAATAGATTTATATTATTATTATCCCCAAGACAGTGATATATTATTGTAATACTATGTAAATATTAGTTAGCATTTTATTTTACAGTGTCAGTTAAACATCTTACATGTACTTACTACAGTAATGACTAAATTATACATAATTACACAAGCAACTAACACTAAAACTAACACACATTTAGTAGGTACATGTTGTGAACCTTATGTTTAATTCACACTGTAACAACGTCACCTTAATATAAAGTGTAACCGAATATTTCATAGTAAGTATATTATTTTTTTGTAGTAAAACCGGTAGCACTTTATTTTACAGTCTCTTTGTTACACGGTCCATGTAGTTATTATAGTACTAACTATAAATTGTGGATAGTTGCATGCAATTAACCCTAAACCAAACCCTATAGGAAGAACATGTAGTTAATTATTATTTGCTTTAATTGTATAATTATGCTGTACTTTTTGGACATTTCTAAATGTAAAATGTATTTAAAGGGGTCATGACAGTTTTTTTTTTATTTGAATATGTTACTAGATGTTCACTTGTAATGTTAATAAAGTTTTTTGCACAAAAAACAAACAAACAATTATAAATGCGGAAAACCAATTATTTTCGACCTTCATTCTAAGCGTCTGTCTGTGATGTGTTTTTAAGGCGTGGCTCCTTTAAGGCTGTTATGATTGGCTGACGTCACTGCACAGGAAACCGTATCAGCGCCCACTCGCTAGTGAAGACATCATACATATAAAACCATCATTTATAGACAAAACATCATGGAATACTTTTACATTTATTAGGTAGAGAAACCAAAGGAATACGAAACATACTCATTAGTTTAATTTGTTTAGCAAATGTGTATATATATATATATATATAAAAAATAACACCGCATATAATCTTCACTGTATAAAACATATATAATGACATTTACAAAAGTCATTCTGTCTAGAGCTGTGAGTGATTTCTTGCAAAAGCGGCCGGGAGTAATATGGGTCAGAGATGTGTGTTCAGTTGCTCAAACGCTCCAGTTTTACTCCGTTTTCCAATTGTACGTTGAAGAATGAAATGACTAGAATTTATTCACCTTTACTATTAAATCCAGCGTTTCATCAGCGCTCGGATCCGCCTCCATGCTGCTGTCAGGCTGTGAGGGAAACTAAACACTATTGGCTATTTGAAAAGGGGGAGGAGCCATTCAATATGCCCCGCCTTAGCTTCCTGTTTCAGTGGAAATAACGTCAACGCATCAAACAAAGCTGCTCGTTCCAGGGCACTTCAGTGGGGCTTTAAGATATTACCAGCTATGTTTAATTGGATACTCACCAAGACTGGCATTTTTACTTAATTTTGTGTGAATTTGTCAATGCAAGCGTGAAAGAGATTTCAATGCAGTATTCAACGTTTCCAACGCTGGGATCCTTCAGTACAGAGACTCAAACCAGCTGTTTAAACTGGAAGACACAGCAAACGTTCTTTCCCTCTTCCACTGTCCTGTTTCCTTCAAAAACTGAACGGGCATCTGTATACTGTATCAGTGTAGACAGCTTCAGTCATTATAATGACTTTTACTTGACACTCACATCTAGTGTAGGCAAATGTCTACCGTTAAGTGACTGAACACCAGTGGGCGGAGCCTATATTGTGATGATGTATAACTATTCGTCAATGTCTTGCTCTGGAGGCGGACATATGCAAATATATTTGCCCGTGTGACGTCACATGTCACCCAGTATCTAGTCTCAGCCTCAGACGTCACTCTCACGGACCTCTGGCTGAACGTCTGATGCATATGGCACACCTTTCTAGAAACACTTCAGGAGTTTCGAAGAGGTGATCTGAGTGGTTGAATCCTACCGGTTGTCGGGGAGACGCGTGCGTCACGTTCTTTAACAGTCCGCCTGGAAACAAACTTTGTAAACAAAAAACCCCTCGTGAAAGAAGAACGGCGTTGTGTTTACAACTGTGTGACAATGAGCGCTTACCAGGATCAACTAAACGCTGGATTTTCAAAAGGATGTGAAGTTCGCGGCTCCATTGTCGCAGTAAACGTTCTTGAATTAATTATTTATTAGATGCACGCCGGTGTGTTATTGTAGGGACATCAACGTTACATTTTCACGCCCCTAAACGTGATGCGGAACAAAACGAACTGTGATTGGTTGCGTTTCATGTCAGTCAAACGTCCTCTGGGCGGTCCTTGGCCAATGAAAGCTGCGATCGAGTCCAGACCTTCTGCCGTCAGTCTGAAGCTCTGGCTACGCGAGACTACACAATATCCAGTCGTTTTTGGCGCTTGATTAAATAAATGCTTTGTTTATAATGATGTTTTAAGCTCTGAAACTTGCAGGATGTTTTAATGGTACAAAGACCTCTTAGGGCCTGTTTACACCTGGTCACTTCATGCATTCTTACTGATCGGATAGCGATCTGATTTATCAAAATGATTTACACCTGGTCACATAAATGTGTTTTCGCAAAACGGATATAAATCCGATCTTCAATTCCCGCGCTATGATTTAATGGAGTTCACGACACCGAAAGCAACCAATATGAGCTGCATTTTATTGATCACAGCTAATTACTTTTAATGAAGATTGTGTGTTAAACATCTGCAACTTATTTTCACTGTTATTTGCGATCGTTTGCGCGTTGGCTTGATGAATAGATGCTCATCTGCGGTGATGCAGTAGCACCGTCATATCTGGCTATAACATGACATATAGCCTATAACACGCCCTCACACGTTTATTTTTAAGCATTGTTGGGAGGAGTAAAATTTAAATAGTTACTTGGTTTCAGCAACCAGATGCGTTTACACTTGTCCAGTTTCGTCTGGAATGCGTCTCAGACCTCCTCCTGAAGTGGTTTGAGCGATCGGATTTAAATCCGTCTCGAATGCGTTTCGGAGGGCATTTACACCTGGTCTTTTCACGATTATATAGCTATCCAATCACAGAACACGCATGAAGTGGCCAGGTGTAAACAGCCCCTTATATGTCAAAAGATCAAGGCAGATTTGATTTCTCATGTCATGACCCCTTTAAGACCATGCATGTTGTACTTAAAATTGTTGTATTGGATATCTGTTGTGTTTGTGTTGGCAGTACATCTCCAGAATTGGGTCTGTGCACAGAATAACGGACCGAGGAGACGTGCGAGTCCAGTATAGTAACAACATCCGCTGGACGTTCCACCCCGGAGCTCTGACCAAGGCAAGAAGATCCCACAAATAGCCAGACGTACTCAGAGGAAAAGCCATGTCTGTTGTCCTCACCTGTGAAGTGTTTGTTCCAGGCAGACTGCTGTGTATATTTAGCTACGCTCAAGCTCATACGGCGACTGTCTGTTTCACAAAGCCTGCTTTTTCCAAGAAGCAAGCCATAAATAGACAGCTGTGCCTATTTCTCTCTGCTTATGGCGGATGAATGATGGCGCCAGATTGTGGCGATTAGCTAAAGCCTCAGACGACTTTGACTAATTGGTATTTCAGGAAGTGTGTGTTGTTATAACAGAGTCTCTGTGTCTCTGTGCAGGTCAATACGTTTGCCGTGGGCGAGCTGGTGAAGGTTCTGGATGACATTGACAGTGTGAAGAGACTTCAGGTTGGACATGGCGAGTGGACAGACAGCATGGCTCCTGTAGGTTCCTCATCAACAGACACGTTTTGGGAGTGAAATCACATTTATTTGAGGGAACGAATCCTCTAACCTTTGAAGTAAAGAAGCACAATACATGTAGCACAGTTCACATGCACAGTACATGTATCAATATAATAAAAAAAAAAATAGATTTACAGAATAGAATAGTTAGTGTCAGTGTCAATGGGTCTAGTGTTGATGGAAAATATGCATCTTCAGCAGTTTCTTGAAGATAAAGAGGCTAAAGACTCAGGTTGAGTTTGGAATTCGTCATTCCTCCAGTCCAGGTGAAGGTCTGTGAAAGTGATTTTGTGCCTCTTTAGGCCATAAGACGCCATTCACTTAAGCCGTTCAGAACTCAAGCTTCTGGAGACACATGGATCTGGAGTAATGAGTTTAGGTATAGGGGAGCAGAGCCAATGGTTGTTCTGTAGGCAAACATCAGTGCCTTGAATTTGAGTCAAACTGTGATAGGCAACCAGTGCAATTTTGTGAGGAGAGATGTGACGCTCTCTTCGGCTCGATAAACACTCTTGCTGCTGCATCTGTATCAGTTGCAGAGGTTTGACTGATGCTTGAAGGAGAGAGCATTACAATAGTCCAGTCTCGATAGAACAAGAGTTGTGTAGCTCTGATCAAAAGGACCTGATCCTCATGATGTTGTATAAGGCAAATCTGCAGGACCGGGCAGTTCTAGCAATGTGGTCTGTGAAGTTCAACTGATCATCAATCACAACTCCAAGGTTCCTGGCTGTCCTGGATGGAGTTATGGATGATAAACCCAGCTGAATGGAGAAGTTGTGATGAAGTGTTGGGTTGGCTGAGACCACGAGCAGTTCTGACTTCGCAAAGTTGAGTTGAAGGTGATGGTCCTTCATTCAGCAAGAAATGTCTGTCAGCTCCCGTCGGATCTTCCGGCTGGAATGAGAGGTAGAGTTGTGTAACATCAGCATAGCAGTAGGAAAAACCATGGTTCTGAATGACAGATGCTAGTGATGACATGTAGATGAAGAAGAGAAGCGGTCCCAGCACTGAGCCCTGAGGCACTCCAGTAGCTAGATGATAACAGTGATGGGATAAACCATGTTTCTGAATGACAGATCCTAGTGATGACATGTAGATGTAGAAGAGAAGCGGTCCCAGCACTGAGCCCTGAGGCACTCCAGTAGCTAGATGATAACAGTGATGGGATAAACCATGTTTCTGAATGACAGATCCTAGTGATGACATGTAGATGGAGAAGAGAAGCGGTCCCAGCACTGAGCCCTGAGGCACTCCAGTAGCTAGATGATAACAGTGATGGGATAAACCAAGTTTCTGAATGACAGATCCTAGTGAGGACATGTAGATGGAGAAGAGAATCGGTCCCAGCACTGAGCCCTGAGGCACTCCAGTAGCTAGATGATAACAGTGATGGGATAAACCATGTTTCTGAATGACAGATCCTAGTGATGACATGTAGATGTAGAAGAGAAGCGGTCCCAGCACTGAGCCCTGAGGCACTCCAGTAGCTAGATGATAACAGTGATGGGATAAACCATGTTTCTGAATGACAGATCCTAGTGATGACATGTAGATGGAGAAGAGAAGCGGTCCCAGCACTGAGCCCTGAGGCACTCCAGTAGCTAGATGATAACAGTGATGGGATAAAGCATGTTTCTGAATGACAGATCCTAGTGATGACATGTAGATGGAGAAGAGAAGCAGTCCCAGCACTGAGCCCTGAGGCACTCCAGTAGCTAGATGATAACAGTGATGGGATAAACCATGTTTCTGAGTGACAGATCCTAGTGATGACATGTAGATGGAGAAGAGAAGAGGTCCCAGCACTGAGCCCTGAGGCACTCCAGTAGCTAGATGATAACAGTGATGGGATAAACCATGTTTCTGAATGACAGATCCTAGTGATGACATGTAGATGGAGAAGAGAAGCAGTCCCAGCACTGAACCCTGAGGCACTCCAGTAGCTAGATAATAACAGTGATAGGATAAACCATGTTTCTGAGTGACAGATCCTAGTGATGACATGTAGATGGAGAAGAGAAGAGGTCCCAGCACTGAGCCCTGAGGCACTCCAGTAGCTAGATGATAACAGTGATGGGATAAACCATGTTTCTGAAAGACAGATCCTAGTGATGACATGTAGATGTAGAAGAGAAGCGGTTCCAGCACTGAGCCCTGAGGCACTCCAGTAGCTAGATGATAACAGTGATGGAAAAAACATGTTTCTGAATGACAGATCCTAGTGAAGACATGTAGATGTAGAAGAGAAGCGGTCCCAGCACTGAGCCCTGAGGCACTCCAGTAGCTAGATAATAACAGTGATAGGATAAACCATGTTTCTGAGTGACAGATCCTAGTGATGACATGTAGATGGAGAAGAGAAGCGGTCCCAGCACTGAGCCCTGAGGCACTCCAGTAGCTAGATGATAACAGTGATGGGATAAACCATGTTTCTGAATGACAGATCCTAGTGATGACATGTAGATGGCGAAGAGAAGCGGTCCCAGCACTGAGCCCTGAGGCACTCCAGTAGCTAGATGATAACAATGATGGAAAAAACATGTTTCTGAATGACAGATCCTAGTGATGACATGTAGATGTAGAAGAGAAGCGGTCCCAGCACTGAGCCCTGAGGCACTCCAGTAGCTAGATAATAACAGTGATGGGATAAACCATGTTTCTGAATGATAGATCCTAGTGATGACATGTAGATGGAGAAGAGAAGCGGTCCCAGCACTGAGCCCTGAGGCACTCCAGTAGCTAGATGATAACAATGATGGAAAAAACATGTTTCTGAATGACAGATCCTAGTGAAGACATGTAGATGGAGAAGAGAAGCGGTCCCAGCACTGAGCCCTGAGGCACTCCAGTAGCTAGATAATAACAGTGATGGGATAAACCATGTTTCTGAATGATAGATCCTAGTGATGACATGTAGATGGAGAAGAGAAGCGGTCCCAGCACTGAGCCCTGAGGCACTCCAGTAGCTAGATGATAACAGTGATGGGAAAACCATGTTTCTGAATGATAGATCCTAGTGATGACATGTAGATGGAGAAGAGAAGCGGTCCCAGCACTGAGCCCTGAGGCACTCCAGTAGCTAGATGATAACAGTGATGGGATAAACCATGTTTCTGAATGACAGATCCTAGTGATGACATGTGGATGGAGAAGAGAAGCGGTTCCACCACTGAACCCTGAGGCACTCCAGTAGCTAGATGATAACTGTGATGGGATAAACCATGTTTCTGAATGACAGATCCTAGTGATGACATGTGGATGGAGAAGAGAAGCGGTTCCACCACTGAACCCTGAGGCACTCCAGTAGCTAGATGATAACTGTGATGGGATAAACCATGTTTCTGAATGACAGATCCTAGTGATGACATGTGGATGGAGAAGAGAAGCGGTTCCAGCACTGAGCCCTGAGGCACTCCAGTAGCTAGATAATAACAGTGATGGGATAAAACATGTTTCTGAATGATAGATCCTAGTGAAGACATGTAGATGGAGAAGATAAGCGGTCCCAGCACTGAGCCCTGAGGCACTCCAGTAGCTAGATGATAACATTGATGGAAAAAACATGTTTCTGAATGACAGATCCTAGTGAAGACATGTAGATGGAGAAGAGAAGCGGTCCCAGCACTGAGCCCTGAGGCACTCCAGTAGCTAGATAATAACAGTGATGGGATAAACCATGTTTCTGAATGATAGATCCTAGTGATGACATGTAGATGGAGAAGAGAAGCGGTCCCAGCACTGAGCCCTGAGGCACTCCAGTAGCTAGATGATAACAGTGATGGGAAAACCATGTTTCTGAATGATAGATCCTAGTGATGACATGTGGATGGAGAAGAGAAGCGGTCCCAGCACTGAGCCCTGAGGCACTCCAGTAGCTAGATGATAACAGTGATGGGATAAACCATGTTTCTGAATGACAGATCCTAGTGATGACATGTGGATGGAGAAGAGAAGCGGTTCCACCACTGAACCCTGAGGCACTCCAGTAGCTAGATGATAACTGTGATGGGATAAACCATGTTTCTGAATGACAGATCCTAGTGATGACATGTGGATGGAGAAGAGAAGCGGTTCCAGCACTGAGCCCTGAGGCACTCCAGTAGCTAGATGATAACAGTGATGGGATAAACCATGTTTCTGAATGACAGATCCTAGTGATGACATGTTGATGAAGAAGAGAAGTGGTCCCAGCACTGAGCCCTGAGGCACTCCAGTAGCTAGATGATAACAGTGATGGGATAAACCATGTTTCTGAATGACAGATCCTAGTGATGACATGTTGATGAAGAAGAAAAGTGGTCCCAGCACTGAGCCCTGAGGCACTCCAGTAGCTAGATGATAACAGTGATGGGATAAAACATGTTTCTGAATGACAGATCCTAGTGATGCCATGTTGATGAAGAAGAGAAGTGGTCCCAGCACTGAACCCTGAGGCACTCCAGTAGCTAGATGATAACAGTGATGGGATAAACCATGTTTCTGAATGACAGATCCTAGTGATGACATGTTGATGAAGAAGAGAAGTGGTCCCAGCACTGAACCCTGAGGCACTCCAGTAGCTAGATGATAACAGTGATGGGATAAACCATGTTTCTGAATGACAGATCCTAGTGATGCCATGTTGATGAAGAAGAGAAGTGGTCCCAGCACTGAACCCTGAGGCACTCCAGTAGCTAGATGATAACAGTGATGGGATAAACCATGTTTCTGAATGACAGATCCTAGTGATGACATGTTGATGAAGAAGAGAAGTGGTCCCAGCACTGAACCCTGAGGCACTCCAGTAGCTAGATGATAACAGTGATGGGATAAACCATGTTTCTGAATGACAGATCCTAGTGATGACATGTGGATGGAGAAAAGAAGCGGTTCCAGCACTGAGCCCTGAGGCACTCCAGTAGCTAGATGATAACAGTGATGGGATAAACCATGTTTCTGAATGACAGATCCTAGTGATGACATGTAGATGTAGAAGAGAAGCGGTCCCAGCACTGAGCCCTGAGGCACTCCAGTAGCTAGATGATAACAGTGATAGGATAAACCATGTTTCTGAGTGACAGATCCCAGTGATGACATGTAGATGGAGAAGAGAAGCGGTCCCAGCACTGAGCCCTGAGGCACTCCAGTAGCTAGATGATAACAGTGATGGGATAAACCATGTTTCTGAATGACAGATCCTAGTGATGACATGTAGATGTAGAAGAGAAGCGGTCCCAGCACTGAACCCTGAGGCACTCCAGTAGCTAGATGATAACAGTGATGGGATAAACCATGTTTCTGAATGACAGATCCTAGTGATGACATGTAGATGTAGAAGAGATGCGGTCTCAGCACTGAGCCCTGAGGCACTCCAGTATCTAGATGATAACAGTGATGGGATAAACCATGTTTCTGAATGACAGATCTTAGTGATGACATGTAGATGGAGAAGAGAAGTGGTCCCAGCACTGAGCCCTGAGGCACTCCAGTAGCTAGATGATAACAGTGATGGGATAAACCATGTTTCTGAATGACAGATCCTAGTGATGACATGTTGATGAAGAAGAGAAGTGGTCCCAGCACTGAACCCTGAGGCACTCCAGTAGCTAGATGATAACAGTGATAGGATAAACCATGTTTCTGAATGACAGATCCTAGTGATGACATGTGGATGGAGAAGAGAAGCGGTCCCAGCACTGAGGCACTCCAGTAGCTAGATGATAACAGTGATAGGATAAACCATGTTTCTGAATGACAGATCCTAGTGATGACATGTAGATGGAGAAGAGAAGCGGTTCCACCACTGAACCCTGAGGCACTCCAGTAGCTAGATGATAACTGTGATGGGATAAACCATGTTTCTGAATGACAGACACTAGTGATGACATGTAGATGGAGAAGAGAAGCGGTCCCAGCACTGAGGCACTCCAGTACACTGTTGTCTGATCCGCCATTTGACTCTTCATTTGTGTGTTTATTCTCAGGCGTTGGGTCAGGTTGGAAAGGTTTTGAAAGTGTATGCCGACGGGGACCTGCGTGTGGCGTTTGGAGGTCAGACGTGGACCTTTAACCCCGCGTGTCTCTCAGCACAGCCTGGTGAGGTCGACGCCAATCTGATGACGGCTGAGAACGCCAGCGAATCAGGAAGTAAGAATTCACAGGAAGTGCCGCTCCTCACTCTCCTCATCATGTCATATGATTCTTTTCTTTTTTCTTTTTTCTTTGGCTTTCTCTTTAAGATAAAAAGATAATAACCACATCATCTTTTCTCTTCCACACTTTCCTGCATGAAACCAATGCTTGTTTTTCTCGTTTCAGCACCGTGTGTTTTTAGTGTATCTCTCTCTCTTCTCTCTCTTTTTTTCTCTCCTTCACATGCTGTGCCAGTGCTGGATTGTTTGTGTCTTGATGCATGGTGACATTTTGACTCATTCTGACTGGTTTTGAACTGTGGGACAGTGACACTTGGGCTCATGGAAACCTTTCTGAACGCGGAGTTTAATTCTTTCCCTCTCCGTCATTCAGGTACGGTTATTTCGGTGCTGGAGAAGCTGCTGTCTCAGTCGACGGAGCAGGATCATCCGGGACGGCTGGTTATCGAGGCAGCGCACGGGAGCGCTGTTAAAGTGCGCGAAATGGTGCAAAAATACCCTGACAAGGTCAGTGCCTCAGCCTGAGAGAATTTAGTAGAAAATCTCTGGTCGTTTTAAGTTATTTCTGTATCTGTCTGTACAAAGGGTTACAGCCTTTCCTTTTATAAACACACTAGAGACAGACTTTGCTGTTTATCTGTTTGGAGAAAAAACTGCCCTTATAGTATAATAAAAGTATATGTTATATTATTATTAATTATATAAATATAAATTTTTACAGCTTTAAAGTAAATCATATAGGTATATTTTATTATAATGTAAGTTTTTTTTCAATTGCAAGTTTAAAAAAAAGACAAAACATAATTAAATGGCTAATCACAATTCTTAGTTTGACAATTAATCTTCAGCAAAAAAATCACGATTGTGACAGGCCTACTAGAGTACTAATTTATTTTAATGTTTTTTTGGAAGAGTCTCTTCTGCTCCTCAAGGCTGCATTTATTTGATCAAAAATACATTAATAATAGTGAAATATTATTACAATTTAAAACAGATGTTTTCTATATGAATATATAGTAAAGTGTAATTTATTCAATCAAAGCTGTATTTTCAGCATCATTACTCCAGTCTTCAGTGTCACATGATCCTTCAGAAATCACTCTAATATGAGGATTTGATGCTCAAGAAACATTTATTTTTGGAAACATTTGTATGATAGTGTAAGAAAGATAAATAAATAAAAATTCCTTGTATTCAGCAAGGGCACATTAAATTAATCAAAAGTGACAGTAAAGACGTTTATAATGTTACAAAAGATTTCTATTTCAAATAAATCATGCTGAAAATTCAGCTTCGATCAAAAGGAATAAATTATTCCTTTAAAAAAAAAAAAACATTATTCCAAACGTTTGGCCAGTAGTGTCTGTTTTCTCTCTCTGGTTCCGTTGAGCATGGATGTGAAGTAGGTCGACTGGTCGGTCGATGGCTCAAGTCTTTGCAGGAGTGTGTTTGACTGACGCCTGTGTGTGACTGTGTCCAGGTGGATATAAAGAACCAGGGTAAGACCGCTCTGCAGGTTGCTGCCCATCAGGGGCACGTGGAGGTGGTGAAGGTCCTGCTTCAGGCCAACAGCAGCATCGAGGCTAAAGATGAGGACGGAGACGCCGCGCTACACTACACAGCGTTCGGGTGAGCGCTTACTCATGCCCTCCACAGCGGGATCTTTCTGACTATTATAAGAGCCTGTGTGTATTATCAAGTATGACATGCACGCAGGGTTTTAAAAATTAACGAATTAACCAAATTAACCAACCAAATACGGGTAAAAATCAACAGTGGTGGGTAACCCTGTCAAATCACTAGCTAATATATATATATGGAAAAAATGGGGAAAAAAGAGAAAAATAAACCAGATTAACTAAGTCACAGCATATATATATATATATATAAGCTGTAACATAGTGGTTTATTTATTTATTTTGACAGCACAGATACACTGGGGCTCCCATTTCCCGTCTTCATTAGTTTATTTAAATTTAATAAATTATTAGACAGAACTGTTGATCAAAGAAAGTAAACGGTGTACATAACTCTTATAGCACCCCATGAGCTGCACGAATTATGGGCGTAACTTCTGTTGAACTGTAAACGACCAGCGAAAGGTTCGCTCTATGAACACAATAAGCATTTTCAAACACTGGGTATATGAGATGACATTATTCTCCTCACACTAATGACATTTCAAAATGTAAAAGCATTAAAGGATTACTACAACAGACCATGGATACCCCCTGAATATTTCCGCAGCAATATTACAGACATGTTAAATATCACTGTAGTAATATATGTCTGTATTATATAACATATGTTATATAATGTTATATACCCAAAAAGGGAAATCCTGTCATCTTTAACTCACCCTTTTGTTGTTCCAACCCTGTATGAGTTTCTTTCTTCTGTTGAACACAAAAGAAGATCTTTTGAAGAATGTGTACCCAGACAGGGGAGCATTTATTTGTTGAGGGGTGTTTATTGTGTGCCTGGTCTTGTTTGTCTCCTATGTGTGATGTGTGTGTCTGACATGTGTGCAGGAATCAGGCAGAGATTGCGCGTCTGCTGCTCAGTAAAGGAGCCGGAGTGAACCTGCTGAATAACTCCATGTGTACGGCGCTGCACATCGCGGTTAATAAAGGCTTCACGGATGTGGTGAGGGTGTTGACGGAGCACTCGGCCGACGTCAACCTCCAGGTCAGACACTAACGCCTCACGGCAAGAGATCTGGATTAGTTATCTGTTTTGAGTTTAATTGGTGTAGTTTTCTTTTTTTTTTGGTAGTAGGGAGCAGTGGGTTTTTTTATGTTGGATATAAAAATATTATTTTTATGTATGTTTGTTAATGGGGGATTTGTGAACTCAGTAACTCGTTTAGAATTAATGTTTTTACGTTGATGTGAAGATTTGTGGCAAGAGGTCTCCAGTGGCATGTTTTAATTACAGTTATTATTTAATATTTTTATTAATCAAATGTCAATTTCAAACTTCTTCAGTATTAATCATAACCTATAAGTCAGTTGAGCAGGATTCATAGTCTCTTGATTGATTCTGTTTTATTATGTTTGATCTGGGTCAGTAAGTAAATGAACACTTTTATTCATGAAGGACACATTAAATTGATCGAAAGCGGCAGTAAAGACATTTATCATTATACAGATTTCTATTTCAAATAAATGCTGTTCTTTTGAACTGTTCTAATCATCAAAGATTCCTGAAAAATTAAAAAAATTGCAGTTTTTCACAAAAATCTGAAGCAGCACAACTGTTAAGGAGCTTTAACTACTATGTACTTGCATCAAAAATAATAATTGTTAGGTACCATAAACGTATTGTGTTGATGTTGTATTGCAAACACTTGTGCTGCTATAGAGGCCTGAGACTGGCACGGTTTGGACAGGTTTAGTGGTGTGGGTAGCTATTAGGGCGGGTTAGCACTGGAACTAGGGGCTAAGACCTAAAGGGACGTTTTCTTATCAATGGATTTTTTTTTGTTTGAATTCTCTGGCACTTTTGAGACCCTTAACATGCACAAAAGCACGTTGGACAAAAGCACCTAAAAGCATGTTCGGGTTGGCCGGGCAGCGGACAGGAAGAGTGGACAGGAAGTGAGGGGGACGGGATCGGAAAAGGTCCATGAGCCGGGACTATATGCTGGCGATATATCTCAGCGCTGCCCATGAGGCTATTACTGCCGACAAGAGGGGCGTATCACTTTACCATTTGACTAACGTCATGATTTAAAAGTGACATATTACGCCCCTTTTCACAAGGTGTAATATAAATCTCTGGTGTCTCCAGAATGTGTCTGTGAAATTTCAGCTCAAAATACCAGATCATTTATTATAGCTTGTCATATTTGCCCCTTTATGGTTGTGAGCAAAAACACATTGTTTTATTTGTGTCCCTTTATATGCAAATGAGCTCTAGCTCCGCCTCCGTTCAGAAGAGGGCGGAGCCTTCACACAAGCTTCAGAGACTCCGGCAATAACAACACAGGCCGATCTCACTGATCCAGAGTCAGGAGTAACAGCAGCGAGTGCAGCCTTACAGAGAGACTCAGGGAGAGCTTCACTTTTACACGTTTCTGAATGTTAGCGGAGACATTTCTGTAGTTGTTGTGGAGTTACACTGATCATCTCCTCGTCATGTTGAACTCTTCCACAAGTGTCCACAGTTCCTGAGGTGTTTATAAGACAGCGCTGACATGTTCTGGTCAATAGTGTTCAGTGTCGTCTGTGCTCGACCACAGAACAGTTTCAGGCTTTGCTGGATCTTCTCCAGTGCGTTAGAACTGGTCTCTGTTGGCGCTCGCCGAACCCAATGTCGCTGGTGTGTGTAAACGTGCAGATTAAGGGCCGGGAATATTATAATAAGATCCTCTTCATACGGCAGAAGGAGCGAAATCTGATCGGCTTATTTTATAACAGAAAGACTCACCAGAACAGAGTTACTGGGTTTCACTTTTCACGTGTTCTGGGTTGGTAGAAGCACCGGAGACGCGATTATAGCACTTAGTCAGATTTTCATGATATGTCCCCTTTAAGTGATTTTTTTTCCCTGTTCTGTTGTCAGGATTCATATGGAGATACACCCTTACACGACGCCATTGCTAAAGACTTCAGAAGCATCATTGAGATTCTGACTGTGGTGCCCAACATCGACTTCACCCAGCAGAACAACCGCGGGTTCAACCTGCTGCACCACGCGGCTCTGAAGGGCAACAAGCTGTGAGTGTCCATCGCTTCGGTCCTAGAGTAGCTGTGCCTCCGTTATGACACATCACTGGCGAATCATAACGGTTCAGCCACGTTCTGTTCGTCAGATATTTTAGCATAATAACACTAAACTGTTAGTTACATGTCTCTCAAATGTGCTTATTCTTCTCGCATTATGACTTAATTTACTCAAATCAATATTTAAAGAGGACCTATGATGCTTTTTTCCATGTTCTTCTTTCTTTAAGTCAAGTCAAATCACCTTATATAGCGCTTTATACAATACAGATTGTTTCAATGCAGTTTTACAGTGATAACCGGAAAATGATGATTCATTGAGTTCATTTCGGATGTACAACAGCTCTAAAAGAAAATAGTGTCATTATTCAACTGAAGTCAGTTCAGTGTTGATTCAGTTCTGTTGTAAAGATCGTCAATTATTAAATTAGTTAATTTCCTCTATAAAGCAGGGATGTCATCATCCCGTGTCAGTACAGTCTGATCAGTAATGTTGATTTTAACACGGTTAGTTCCAGTCCTTGATTCTGATTGGTCAATAGCTGTGTTTTATTCACGATAAAACACGACCGCTTCACCCAACGGTTCTATGTATCACTACACAACACCCCTAGCAACCACTCTTAGCAACGTAAACATAGGCTATGTTCTCATTAATGTTGCTCATTGATAAGCTTATAGAGTGAGTATTGTGAGAGATAAAAAAAAATGGATAAAAATCCATTTGAATGTCCACTTCAATATCTTGTCCTTAACAGTTAAGGTGTTTTCCCGTGCCATGACACGCTAGTCATTCGTCAGTTGCTTCTCCATGTTTACCACCAGTTTTAGTCCTTTCAATATTAAAGTCTTCTCTACTGACTGACTCACTCATAAAGTCAGTCTTTGCCGCCATCGAAAGGCGAAATAATGTAACTTCTGTTCCTTTTCTCAGTCAGGGACTATTTTTTCCCAGTGGAAGGAAGACTTTTAGTGATTTTACTTCATGAAAGTTGCATTGAAACATATTTTTTTTGGCTTTAATATTTGCATTGTGTGGTAACCGTTTTATTAAAGCAAGAAGGTACGAGAGGCTAGTGCTGTATCGTGAATAACTCCGCTTCGCGTCGTGCCTAACAACGCCCTTCAGCCGTGACTTATTCACGATACAGCACAGCCTTTCGAACCTTATTGCTTACATATAAAGTGTCCCCAACTAAGCAAGCCAGAGGCGACAGTGGCTAGGAACCCAAATGGAGACAAAAACCTTGGGAGAAACCCTCTGGCCATTCTCCTCTGGCCAACGAACGAACATGGTGTCATGATTCAGACTGCATCACAAGTCAGAATTCAGATCGGGATCAGAAGCATTCAAATATTTATCCAGTTCCTTTTGCTTGAAGATCAGATCCATCATGCCGGTATGGAGCCGAAGCTGGCCATAGGGTCTATGCGGAGGACCTGTCTGGTTCTTGTGGTCTTTGCTGAGGATCTGTGGCGATGGCTGTCGTGTGACGAGGCCTTCACAGGGGAGAGTCTAGTTGACACGGTCTCTTCTGACATTCAGGGCTGTGTTGTGGCCGTGTCTAGGTGCAGGTCCACCATCAGATCGGGATACGGGCCGGATTCAGCTGACTACGGTAACCTCAGGATAAACAGAGAGACTAACATTAGCGTAGATGCCATTCTTCTTACGATGTAACAAGTACATCGGGTGTTATAGGAAGTGTTCCCGGTTCCGGTTGACCTTGCCTAATTCATCCAGCTTAACAAATCTTTTAAATGAATGTGATAATGTGTTATGTGTATGTCAGGTTAAAGAGATGTGTTTTTAGTCTAGATTTTTTTTACATAGTGTGTCTGCTTCCCGAACAAGGCTAGGAAGACTGTTTCAGAGTTTAGGTGCTAAATAGGAAAAGGATCCACTGCATGCAGTATCAATTGGGATGAATTTTGAGATCGCAGTAGACGTGAAGGACTTTAATGCGTTAAGTACTGGGAGCTAAACCATTAAGTGCTTTGTAAGTAATCAGGAATATAAAAAAATGCATGCGATGTTTAATAGGGAGCCAATGCAGTGTTGACAGAACCGGGCTAATATGGTCATACTTCCTGGTTCTAGTAAGAACTCGAGCTGCTGCGTTTTGGACTAGCTGTAGTTTGTTTATTAAGCGTGCAGGGCAACCACCCAGTAGAGCTTTACAATAATCTAGCCTTGAGGTCATGAACGCATGAACTAACTGTTCCGCATTTGTCATTGAAAGCATATGTCGTAATTTTGATATATTTTTAAGATGAAAGAATGTGGTTTTACAGATGCTAGAAACGTGATTTTAAAATGAAAGATTGGTTTCAAAGAGCACACCCAGGTTCCTATCTGAGGACAAAGACTTGACAGAGAAGTCATCCAGTAAGAGGCAGTATTCAAGGTTATAATATGCAGAGGTTGGGAATGAAGTAGTAGGAAATTCCTAAAATTACTGTGCATTCATTTCATTTTGTGGATTGGTATATTTTGTCTGGGTGCGAAGAAATATAGAACTGAGTATCATCAGCGAAACAGTGAAAGCTAATGCCATGTTTCCTAATGATATCTCCTAAGGGTAGCATGTACAGAGTGTGTGTGTGTGAGGGTAGCATGTACAGTGTGTGTGTGTGTGTAGCATGTACAGAGTGAACAGTAATGGTCCTAGCACTGAGCCTTGAGGTACGTCATACTGAACTTGTGATCGATAAGACATCTCTTCATTTACTGCTACACACTGATAACGGTCAGATAAGTGTGATTTAAATTCAACTAATGGCAACATAATTTTCAAGTCTATTTAAAAGAATGTTTTGGTCGATAGCATCAAATGTAGCACTTAGATCCACTAATAGAGAGATACAGCCACGATCGAATGATAAGAGCAAATCATTTGCAACTCTAATGGGAGCAGTCTCAGTACTATGGTACGGTCTAAATCCGGACTGGAAATCCTTGGAGATAAAATGTATTTCTAAAAAAGGAACATAGTTGTGAGGATACTGCTTTTTCTAGGATTTTTTGACAGGAAAGGGAGATTTAAGATTGGTCTGTAATTAACTGGTTCTCTAGGATCAAGTTACATTTTTTAAATAAGAGTCTTAATAAAAGCCAGCTTAAAGTTTTTGATATGTATGAATGACATTGATGTATTAGTAATATTAAGAAGATGATCTATGACTTGTTCGCTTGTTGATCTATGACTAAGCATCTTGTTCATAAGTTTAGTCTGCATAGGGTCTAAATACATGTTGTTGATTTAACAAGTTTAGAAATTTCTTCCTCTCCCATACAAAGGATAAATTGAATTGTTCCTCATGGGGTTTATAGCACGATGTCTAATGTGATACTTTAGTAGACAGTTGCGTGATTATAATTTTCTCTCTAATTATATCAATCTTGCAAGTAAAGGAATTCATAAAGTCATTACTGCTGTGCTGTTTGGAAACATCTGATGCTTAATTTCTTGTTAATGTAGCCACTGTATCAAATAAATGCCTAGGGTTGTGTTTGTTTTTACTAAGATAGTTGAAAAATAAGCAGATCTAGATGTTTTAAGGCCTTTCTGTTTGCGGTAACACTCTCCTTCCACGAAATGCGAAAAACCTGTAGTTTTGTTTTCTTCCAGCTGCTCTCCATTTTTCAGGCTGTTCTTTTAAGAAAGTTCTCTTAAGTTCTCTCTTGTGTGCTCCTTGTACCACAGCATTGGACTTTTTTCCTTTATCTTCTTAAAGCGCAAAGTAGCAACTGTGTCTAAAGTGTTGGAAAAGAGAGAGTCAAAAGTTTCTGTTGCAACATCGAGTTCTTCTAAACTATCCTGCATGCTGAGTAGTTGAAGATTATTAATAAATATTTAGTAGCAGAAGTAATAGGTCTAACATATTTGTAACACAGAGTCAGCTTTGCAGCCTTGGCTAAATTAAGTTTACATGAGACTAGATAATGATCTGAGATGTCATCGCTCTGGTGCAGAATTTCAACCCCATCCACTGCGAATCCATGTGACAATATTAGATCTAGAGTATGATTACGACAATGAGTAGGTCCTGACACGTGTTGTCTCACTCCAATAGAGTTTATAATGCTGGTAAATGCTAATCCCAATGCATCTCTTTCATTAATAACATGTAAATCACCTACAATTTGGACTTTATCTGCAGCCAGTACTAACTCTGATAGAAAATCAGCAAATTCTTTGATAAAGTCTGTATGGTGGCCTGTATACACTAGCTAGTACAAATGTCAAGCGCGATTTATCACTTACACTAGATAGTGTTACATTAAGCACCAACACTTCAAAAGAATTATATTTGAAACTAGAGTAATACTGAAGATATTACTATAGATTACAGCAACACCTCCCCCTTTGCCTTTCAGACGAGGTTCGTGTTTATAACTGTAATCTTGTGGGGTGGACTCATTTAAAGTAATGTTATCGTCTGGTTTTAGCCAGGTTTCTGTCAAACACAGCTCATCTAGGTTATAGTCTGTAATCATATAATTTACAATAAGTGCTTTTGTAGAAAGATATCTAATATTCAGCAACTAAGCTTTATTGTTTATTCATCTGTATTATATTGTTTTTTATTTGTTGAACATCAATTACATTTTTACCCTTAAAAATGGGAGTTTTTTGTATTTCCTAATTAGAGGAACAGACACAGTCTCTATATGATGATATCTAGGTGAAAGAGATGTGTTGGGATTTATCTGACCTGGGTGACGCGAGGCCGCTAGCAGACGGTCGGTTTAGCCAGTCTGTCTGCTTCCTGACCTGAGCCCCAGATTGTCATGTTTGAGCTCTAAGACTATGTGCCATATCACCAGGAGGGACGAATACCATCTCTTTTCAACAGGTCAGGTCTTTTGAAGTTTGTAAAAACTTTTCCATCTGTCTATGAGCCCTATATTATTTTGCGGACCCCACTTAGACAGCCAACCATTGAGTGAGCACAGTCTGCTATGTATCTCATCACCCCGGTAAACAGGA